TCTTCAGTCTTATGTTACATGTTTATTTTCTTATATGCATTTATATCAAATTATTTTTCAAATATTTTAATAAATGAATCATATTTTATCATTAAAATTAATTAATACTAATTATTATTTTTTTTTTTTATTATTATTATTATTATTATTATTTGGTCAAGATATTAATAATTTTTATTTTCAAAAAAAAAAAGAAAAAATTGAATGAGATATTTAGTTTGAGACTGATCCATTAAATATATGGATCAAAATTGTACTAAATCTCTGATTTTGAGTTTAAAATATGACAGCTTTGATTGGATAAAAATCAGCGCCAATTGAATTCATCAAAGGATTTGTACTTTATTTGAGTTTATGGCCGTATTGAGTTATTGGATTTATTCAGACATTGTTTTTTGTGTTTATTCTATTTATGTCTTGTAATTTGTGTCTATTTTACCGAGATTAAAAATAATTTTTATTAGGATGAAAATTAAAATTTAACAATTTTAAAATAATCAAATATATATTTAACTCTTATTAATTATATATAAGATTAGAACTAGACAACATTATTGATTTATGGAGTGTGATATCTCATCCTTTAAAATTACAACTTATGCTCATCTTAAAAAAAGATAATTTGATTGAGCTGTTAGATATATATGCACTTATATTATTATAATCTAGAATATTACTCTTAACTTTTAAACTAGTTAAAAGTCTAAATATTTTTTAATAAATTTACGTATCTTGGTCACGTCACATCACATAGTCACATGTTTTCTTCTCCGGACTCCCGTGAATATTTTCGTATTTTTCATCTTAGTACCTGCCTACTTCCTTTTACTTGCAACACGTGTTATGTAACTTTACTGTCATCATGATATTAAGATTAGTACTAGATCATACATACATTAAAAAAATAGTTGAAGATGACGTAACTTTATTACTTGAAGCCATCGTCATCAAGCACTTATTGTATAATATTTTTGTTTGGATTGAAAATGAACAGGTGCTGTGTGTGGAAGTGCAAGCCTAGTGAATTCCATGATGGATCTCCAACAAGGTGCCATAATGCTCTTAGGCCCAACGATGAACCCCAAAATAGCCTTTGAATTATCAGAAAGAATCCCTCATTTGGGCATACGGATGAAAGAACATAGCAACCGTGCATTAGTTTTCTCAACAAGACTTAAAAAGCTAGGCCTCAAGGTAATCTACCCTGGCCTAGAGGATCATCCACATCATGAGTTATTGAAATCCATCCACAACAAAGAATATGGCTATGGTGGACTTATTTGCATTGACATGGAAACAGAAGAGAGAGCTAATAAACTCATGAGCTATTTGCAAAACTATGGTCAATTTGGTTTCATGGCTGTTAGTTTGGGTTACTATGAGACACTTATGTCTTGTTCTGGAAGTAGCACTAGTAGTGAGCTGAATACCGAGGAGAAGGTTCTTGCCGGAATCTCGCCGGGGCTTGTGAGGATGTCGATAGGATATATTGGGACGTTGGAGCAGAAATGGAGTCAGCTTGAAAAGGCCATTATTAGACTTCAAGAATGTGGTATTGCTAATAAGAATTGAAGAAGTTTATAAGTTATGGGTGTGAGTTTATGTTTGTAGTTTGTTATGAAATGTTTGTGTTTGTATGAAAATGTGTAACCTTGTTCTTATCTCGTGTGATAGTGCGATATGAATGAAGTTGAAGTAAATAAAGTTGCTTGTTAAGATAAGTTTATGTCCCCTAATTGTTGTTACTTTTATATACTTTAGTTTAGAAACACGCTAAAAGCTTATTTCGTTGGAGATATTTGATGGAGTATTACACGCATCAAGTTCTCTCCGTACTTAAAAAGTATATTAAACATTGGTCTCCATTTCGAATCATGGACGTGAGTTGACTTGATAATACAAATTAATTTAACTCATTAATTATTGACATGACACTAATGTTTTTTTAATTAAATTTAAAATGAAAAAAAATAAAATAAATATATAATTATAAATCTTGGGTTCGAACAAAACCTTGACTACTTAGTACAAGAAGAATTTTGTCTTCTATTATAGTTCTCTACAGTTTGTTTGTTTGAGAGATTATCTATACAATTGCGCGCAAATGATATATGATTTCTATTGAAAAATTACAACATAGCAATGTTAATTGTTGTTGTGTAAGATAACATGTTTAATGTTGTTGTTATTGTTGTTGAGATTTAATGTTTAACTCGATTAGAAATATTTAATATTTTATGTTTTATGAAAGTTCTCAATGTCGTTAGTCAAAACATGTGGCTAAAATGAAAAATTGAAATGATTAATTTTTCACCACGGTTGAAACTAAAAGTGAGGCAGACAGACATTTTACCATAATTGAAAGTTTTAACTGTGGTGAAAAGTTGACTAGCTATATTTCACCACGGTTGGAATTTTCAACTGTGGTAAAATGTAGCGCATTATCTAATTTTTTTACCACCATCTTAACCTGTGGTGAAAAGTAGCACACCTACTATCATGCCCTTCGTTATCACATACCACAATTCGTGATGGAATCATTCTCCCAACCGTGGTAATCTATATTTTTTGTAGTACTGTGTGATAAAGATGAAATATGGTATCTAGACTTTGGTTGCATCAACCATATGGTTGGAAGTATGGTTTAGTTCTTCGAATTTGATGGAAATGTTAGAAAAATTGTCAAGTTAGGAGAAAACTCAAATATGTCTATTATGGGAAAACGAAATGTGAAGCTACGCATCGGTAGCATAACACATGTGAACACTTATGTATATAACTTATCTGGTTTGAGAAACACATCATCTCATCATTATGTTTAAGCATGACACTTGTCAAATATTTCATGAAGAGAAATGCTTGAACATAACCACTCAAATGTCTAAAAACATAATGTATGTCATTCGACCACTAGTTATTATGATAGTCTTCTTTCTTAAAACCAAGCAAACGACATCTCAATTGTGGCATACAAGATATGGCCACCTAATTATTAAAGTCTTGACACATTTGTGAAGTAAGAAATGGTGAGAGAGTTGCCAAACCTGATAGACATATAAGAAATGTGCATTGACTGCTTGGTGGAGAAGCAACACAAGAATACTATTCCAAAACAAGTAGTTTAAAGAGCTAGTATGAAACTAGAGCTTGTACATTCTGATATATTTGCGCAAATGAAACCTGAATCAATTGGAGGAAACAAGTACTTTATCACCTATACAAATGACTTGAGTAGGAAAACATGGATTTATTTTTTGAAAGAAAAGTCTAATTTCTTTGATGTTTTTAAAAAATTCAAGGCATTAGTTAAAAGAAAATCTTGTTAATGATTAGGATTCCAAATCAATGTCAATGTCCATGAATTATAGTCCACAACTTACATGTGTAATACCGTCAACAATACTTGAATTCATGCCTTTACCTAACTTTAATTCTTAAAAACTTCAAATAAAATTTTCCTTTCTTATGTAGATCAAATTGTAATTGACTATAGACACAAGTGGGATCCATTGAAAACACTTTCTTCTCACTCCTACTCTGCTTCCTTTTATCATCATTTCTATCCTTTAGGTTTTCCAGCGTCGGTCGGTGGCAGGATGGAATCTTTTCAGGTTCCTTGGCCTTGCCTTGACTCTCCTAATAATTCAATTCCACCTACTATCAATCCTAACAATGCCTATAAACCCAAATTTATATCTTCTGAAGATGCTTTGAATGTTGAGGATAACATTTGTCAAATTCCCACTTTTCATCTCCTTCAGCCTTGCTTAAAAGGTGATAAGGTAGCCATCTTGATTCTGGAAGAGGAATACCTAGCAGGAATTGAAGCCTGCAAGCACAACCTCCATGGAAGAGTAGTCTGGCCGAATGGGTTAACTTTGTTGACTTTCATTGCCTTTAAGAACAAATTGACAACTCTTTGGGTTAATTTTGGAAAATGGGGAATTACCTCGCTCGGAAAAGAGTTTTTTTTTCGAGTTTTCGTGGCATCGTTGGAAGAAGTTAAGAGGGTCTTTTCTTTAGTGACTTGGAATCTTTCTCCAAGTTCCTTAAAGTTATTCCATTGGTTGAAGGATTTCAATCCCAATTTGCAAAAAGTGTCAACCTCTAAAGTCAGGATTCGCCTGTTTGGAACAAGAGTATTAAAGGCCTAATATAATTTTTGTGATTGCAAATAACGTTGCTCCGATTTGCACTAATGTTCTTGCCTCCAAATCTATATTAGATTGGACCTTTGGTTATTTCGTTAGGGTTTTAGTAGATATGGATTTGTCTTGTGCTTTACAAAACAACGTTATTGTCAAAAGGTAAGGGTTTGCGTTTTTTGTTGATATAGAATACAAAAATATTCCTCAATATTGTACTCACTGTAAATGGTAAGAAATTCTTTACAAAACTGTAAACATATAAAAAAGCATGTCTCCTACCACATTTGAAGTGGCCCATCCGAAATCCAAATGTAAGTTTTTTGTGCCCAAGAACCCTAAAATTCACGTGTCTCCTAGCAAAGGCAAAGAGCCTATTAAAGAAACTAACCTAGCCAATCAGGATCTGTAACCTAGTGGCCTAGTTAAAGAAACTATTATGCTTCCTGATTTCAACAATGATAGTGGTCATAATTTTGATGATCCTGTAGACATCAAACGCACACACACACACACACACACACACACAAAGTTTGATATCTTACAGGTGGTTTTATAAGAAGTAGAAGAGTTTGAGGGCATTTCTCAAGACAAATAGTTTGTTTATGCCACCCCGTTAATGGATGATTGCATAGATGGGATTATAAATCCCTCAGGTAATAGAACTGAGGACTTCCTTAAGAGTTATTGGGATAAGTTGCCGAACAATATGGATGAGTTAGAAAGCTTAGGTGACGATTCTGAAAACATTTCTCTCCATTCCTTCACACTTGTTAGAGCTAAAAAGAAGAAAAAAATTAAGCAAGCTAATGGATACATAACCAAATCAAAGGTTAGATCTTTCACACCTTTTAAATGATTTGTATCTATCAGAATTCTAGGGGATTGACTAACTCCCCTTCTAGATTGTCCCTTAAAAATATGATTATGTCCAATAAACTTGATCTTCTGTTTATTGTTAAGCCTTGGATGTCCCTGGATAAGATTCCTCAAAACTGGTTTCTCAAGCTAGGGTTCAAGCTTATTGTTATCAATGAGAGATTCAACCTTATGTCCAATATGTGGTATTTTTATAAGTGTTAGTTAAATCTCATCACCATATATGTTGGTAGTCAAGCTATTGCCTTCACCATCATGGTTGGTAACCTTGCTTTTGGTTTATGGCTATTTATGCCTCCAACAACTATATTACTAGAAGAGATATCAGTACTACAAAATAGACCTTTCTTAACATCAATTTTACAACAATCTTCCTGTTAACCATGGTAACAATTCTTTTTTGGGCACTTTTTTTTTGTATTTACTAAAGGAGATTTCACAATAGTCATAGGTATCAACTGTAGTGAAATGCACCTGGAGTGAAATGGTTCGAATCTCAATAACAACAATTTTCCATTTATCGTGACATAATGGGCTTGTATTATCAACCGTGGTGTAAGTTTCAATCATTCCATCACGGTTCATATTAGCAACCGTGGTGAAAGGTGTTACTTATTTATATATGTAAGAAAAGTTATCTATTCAATACATTACAATTGTCTCCCTCAAAACAAAACCCTAACATTTGTTTCACTCGTCTCTCGCAAAACAAAACCCTAACATTTGTTTCACTCGTCTCTCTCAAAACAAAATCCTAACATCTCTATCACGCGTCTCTCTCGTATGGAAACCCCAAATTTATGCAGCCAAATTGTCTTCTTCGAAGGATACCTTTGCTGTATTAGATCTTAGCAATTATCTATTTAGTACATTACAACCGTCTCTCTCAAAACAAAACCGTAACATCTCTTTCAATCGTCTCTCTCAAAACAAAATCCTAACATCTCTGTCACTCGTCTCTCTCGTATGAAAACCCCAAATTTATGCAGCCAACTCATCTTCTTTGAAGGATACCTTTGTTTCAAAATCTGTTTATGTATTATTATTTATGCTTCAATAGTATGTTTCATAATGTTTGAACTTTCTGCTTGTTAGATTTGTAGGTACAGATGCTTGTTTCAATAACGAGACCGAAGCTAAAGTGAGCATTGCAAAATCATGATAAAGACCCATAATGGCATCCATTCAAAATAGAAACATGTTTGAAGCTCTAACTTCAGCTTCATCCTTCTTTCATTGTGGACACCGTTATGGGACATGTATGTTTTCTAAAAAATTTATGACTTGATATGTTTGTTGTATCGTGTATGTTGTTGATTAATGTTTTTTATGAATGTTGTTATTAATGTTTATTTAAAAGGTGAGTTTATTATATCTTACGTGGTTTGAGTATTTTTCCAATCCCTTACTGAATATATAAATTTTTTATATTGCATTAGAAAATTATAATGTGATAGATAAAGTTATATTAGAAAACAACTATACGTTCAATTCTTGACAAGAATTCTTCAGTCTGTTATCTGCATGTTATTCTTTAACCGTTAGAAATTTATTTAATGATTTTAGTTCTTCAACTGCCCCTCTCTCCACCTCTAATTTTGTTTGCAAAGTAAATAATATTTTTCAAAATGAACTATAGAGGTAAAGGAAGGGGTTGTTGAAGAACTATGATCATTAAACAAAGTTTTAACTATTAAAGAGAAATATATGGATAAAGAGTTGAATAACTATTGTCAATCACTGAACGTGAACTTGTTCTTCTAATATAATTTGTCATATTATAATGTTCTAGATCATATTGAAAGGTTATATGTTTAGTGAGCATTGACGAAATAAGCATTCCATATAATTTAAAATAAACTTAGTGTATATAACACAACTGATGTTTATACAAACCATTGTTAAATGTTATGTATTAAATCATATCAAAACGGATGTATAAACTAAGTTTTATGGTAGGTAGCGTGTTACATAACTTATAATCACAATCCCACAAATATGGTGGAAGCATCATACATACAATCACAACTTACCTTACAACAGCTGGTACATCGTGGTGTATCCATTTTCCAACCAATGTGATAGGTGTTTTTCGTAGTAGAGTATATGGGTTGACTTAAGAATTGTTCTTAATGTTCACAAAGTCCCTTGGTGCGTTTTTTGTGACTTTAATGTCATTCTTGGGTCTCATGAGCATAATGGGCATTATACCTCTGCATGAACTCCTATTAATGAATTTCAAAATTGGACTAATATTAATGATCTTTTCCGCCTCCCTACAATTGGTGTTGAGTGCACTTGGTCTAATGAGAGAATAGGGAATGAAGACACCATCAAGAGGTTCAATAGATCCAATTGAAACATGGTTTGGATGGACCAATGTTGTAAACCTTCTTGTACTACTCTGCCCAGAATTAGATTAGACCACTACCCTCTAAAGTTATAGTTTTGATTTACCTCCATAAAGTATGGTTCCATCTTTTAAGTTTATGCGAATGTGGAACTCCCATCATTCTTGTTTGGATGTCATAAAAGATAGTTAGAAAGTGGATATCCATGGTTGTCCCATGTTTGTGTTATTTGAGAAGCTTAAAATCATGACGAAACGTCTTAAGATCTGGAACTTGAACATCTTTGGTAATGTCCAAGACTCTGTTAAGTAGATTGAGCAATCCTTGATTCAAGTTCAAATTGACTTGAAAAACAATTTTCACTCTAAGGGTTGAGAATTAAAGAGAGGGATTGCCTTGTCTATATAGAGAAAGTCATTCACATCTTTTTTTGGAAAGATAAAGCTAGAGTTAAGTGACTTATTAATAATGATATAAACAATAGGTTTTTCCATAGGGCGGGCAAGATTAAATCTGCCACCAACCATATTTTTGCCTTAAATATTAATGACACCTCTTGTTAATATCATGCTTTGTTGGGAGATCATTGTTGCAACCCAAAATTTTCCCTCTCTTTTTCTAACCGTAAATGGCTTATGTTTCATTCATTTTTGCATTATCATTGTTCATATCATGGCATTGGTTCTTGAGATATGGGATCAAGTTGTTTATATGTCTCAAAACTTTCTTTTATTGCAAGTTTGTAAGCAGCAAGCATCAGAGGCTTCAACATTCATTTTACTCATCGAGCACCGAATTTTATTTTTCAGCAAGTTATTTTTGAGCGCGAGAGACATTTCATAGTTTATCTCAGGCATTATACAAGTGCAGTATCAAATAACAAGTTTTAGAGGTTAAACTATTCTCAAAACAGGTGGCAACGGGCGATTCCCCATGCTTCCCTCCTTGCAGCGCCGAGAAAATTCAAATTTCCCATGTGTTAATCGATTAACACATTTTTCCTAGCAACGTGTTAATCGGTTAACCAATGTAAATTTTGCCCAGATTGTTTCATTTCCAGCGTTGCAGCTTTTGATCCCAATTCCAATCACTAAATTTCAATTTTCACACCAGTAGAAGGATCTAGAAGTGGTTCTAAATTTGATTTATTTTCCAATTAATTCAAATTCCCTCCAAAGTTCAAACATTTTCATTCCTAATTCCACTCCTAATTTCTATTCCTCACACTAAACCACACTCCAAGCCACAATTTAATTTCAAACCTAAACCATACTTAAATTGTTTTGCTCCAAACCTCTCATAACTCTCACTCATTTTCTGATTTTTCTACACATCTCATTCCAATTCTCTCAACTTTTCTATAATTTTTCTCTCATTCCAAAACCCTCACAAAAGCTCCATAATCAAAATCTTCACAAATTGTACATTGTAATTTGTGAATTCTTGAGCTAAACCTCCATTACATCATCTTCCATTGTTCAATTTTGAAGTTGCAACTTATTTGGATCTTGATCAAGTTTTGGAATCACTTCTTAAAGAGCTTGTGGCTTATTTGTGGATTATTTCTTGGATCTTCAACTTTTCTTGCAAGAGCTTCATAGATCTTTGGTTTTCTTGCTTTGATTCATCAATTTCAATTTAACAACACTCACCAAAGCAAATCTCAGCTTTGTAGGTTGGTAGTTTTCAGATCTAACTTTGATTTGGCTCAATTTTGCATTTCACATTGTAGATCTTATGATTTTTGGTGATAATTGATCCATTGATTGCTTTGATTATTGATCATGATGTTGATGGATTTAATTGGTGTTTAATTATTGTGATTTGATGTAATTTTCGTGCACAATTGATTGCTCTAACATATGGAGATTAAGTGATTAAGTTGCTGAAAAGTGCTTTCATGCTGAATTTTATATTGTTGTTTTTTTACAGTATTAACAAATTAACCATTTGCTAGGAAAAAGTGGTTGATCGGTTAACCAATGTATTTTTGTTGTTTTTGAGTCTGTTAATCAATTAACATATTTTGCCTAGAAAATGGTTAATCGATTAACATTGATACAAAATGTGATTTTTATGCATTTTCAAGCTTGTTTTGATTTCTTTCCACTTCTAATCTTCATGGATTAATATGATGCATATTTGTGGACTGTTTTTGAGTTGTTCCATCATACTTGATAGCATGCTTGTGATTTTCGCGTTGTAGATCCGTGACTTTTGTTTTGCACTCTTGGTGTGATGGTCATTTTTCATACTCATTTGTACCATGTCAATTGTTGGTTCTTAATGTTTAGCTTATTGGATTTGTGTTACATGCTCATTACATGTTTCCGATTCCGCAAGTGCATGATTGTTCAAAGCGATTAATTATTGTTGAATATGCATGATGTTCTTGTTGGATGTTTAATTCTGAAATATTGTTGAGTTTACTTATTCTTAATTGTTAATACATGTTCATTAATTAACCTTGCTTTATATGTGCTCATGTCTGGTCTACACGATGTCATATGCCTTTGTTGAATTATGGATGCATAATCATGTATTGTTCTTGGATGACTTGATCATATGACAATTGTTTCTTAAACTTGGTTGTTTGCAATCTTGATACTTGGTTTGGCTTGTTATGCATGCGTGTTCGTTTATGATCATTGCTCGCTTGATGTGTTGCTTCAATGTTAATGCATGCAAGCTGCCTGAGCTTTCACACCTGTCCTTCTGGATTTTAGCATGTTGTTAATTGTGCATCTATTCTGCCTGCTACTTTTTACACCTGTTATATGCTGAAACATGAGCTATTAAATACTGTTGTGCTTATTTGCTGGGTTTTTATTGCTATTCTGGGGATGAAGCGTT